TCTTTATTTTACGCGATATTACAACGATGAGGAACCAAGATCCATTTGAGTAATTAAAAGATTCATAAGACAAGGAGTTAAACTGGAAGAATCGATAGACTTTCTGATACAATGCCTTTTTCTCATCAATAGTGAGTATACGTATCAGGGCATTATAAGAGATTAAACCGGAAGAATCGATGGACCCCGGAACACAATACCTTTCTCATTATAATAACAAAGACAATACACAGGAGAAACTGCGGAAATTTCAATTTTCACGTCAATTTTTCGATAAAACATCAAAGAACCTTTTACTAGACGCGATATCGCAGCTCAAGTAGGTTCGATCGAGCGGCTAAAATATTCACAAGACATTCATATTTCACACTAGAACTACCGAAACGGTCAAAATGATCAATTCACAAGTTTTTTTAACTTTGTAGAATTGCATCTCTAAAATGATTTTGAGTGTTTTTGCAAACACACGGACACGCATTCCAATTTCTCTTAGAGAAAACTTTCACACGTTCGATCGTTCGAGATCAGAACAGAATTGATGGACTTCGTGACGCGAGAAGCTTTCTTTCATCGCTCACGAATGGCCAAAGGGGCAGGAACAACAGAGAGGAGGAAACGAAAGGAACTGTTCGGAGAACATTGGCGAAAGCTGTAAAATACGCGCGTATTTCTGCGAGATAAATGTCCAACCGGACGTGAAAATATCGCGTTCCCTCATCGATGCCTGATGTAGGGAACTAGGCGTCGATTTGACGAGTCGCATTTTTTTCGGATATTTATGTCTGGCAGCCGGTGGCCTTTTTACTGAGCGGCCGGGGCTCAAAGGAGAATTTATTTTATCACGGCCGCGCCGACAGATATCAGGCATCGAATCGTTATTTTCCATTCGTACGCCGTCCCTTCGAACCACCTTTGCTCCCTCGTCCCGTCGAAATTGATATTGACGATCTCAATTTGCGATTCTCTTTCGACTGTGCCCCCACCCTTCTCTCTCTATCTTCTCTCCTTCTCTCTCGTACTCTGCCTGCCTATACAGAGGGACCGGGACACACGCCAGCCTATAATGGCAGATAGAGATTCTCTCGCGTTCGTTCTCTCGTTCTCTCGTCCTCTCTGCCCATTTTTTCCCTATTCGTAATTTCCGAGGAGCTCGCTCTTTTTCATATGCCAGCTGGTTACGCTAATTCGAGTATCCGAGCCTCTCCCGTTTCTTTGACGTTCGGCGACCAAGGGCGCCAGGGATGGAAAAATAATGGTCAATCTCTCTCTGTCGCACGGCTTCACCCTCGATCGGTGTTTGCGACCTGGTGGTATGGATTGAGAAGGTGGTTCTACCCGATAAGCCAAGTCGGAAGAAAGGAACAAAAAGTTTTTTTTTCATCCGAGCTCGTTTTGTTTCAGACTCAGAGAGTAGAGTAGTTTGAAAATTCCAGGCGCGCTTCCCATTGAAACATTGAAATTGGACAGATGGGTGGTTGTTCTACGAGCGACGATAAATCGAAAGTTTAAAATACAATTCTTCGTTTCGAAGAATGATGAAGTTTGACAAGTATATATTTGAGCTTGGTTAATTATTAATAACTTGGTTAATTGTTAATAATTCTAGCATGAGGGTGAATAATCAACAGGACCAAGAGGTTATTCTATGTGTGAAAATAAATAAAAAATATAGAATATAACTTTATATGTAGAATCATCCTGTTGAACTCTTCTTACGAAGTTATAGGCCAAGTTGCATTCTTCTTGAACAATAATTTAGCAATTAATAATGTCAGTGACCTAACAAGATATATAAGTTATGAATTTCCAAATAGGACTAACTAACTAATTCTGCAATTTGTAAAATTGATTTCTGTCGTGAATGAAAATGTTATGAAAATCTTACAGTTCAATTGAAGAACAATTATATCTTATATTAGAAATGTGTGTCATTCTTTTATATTAATTTCATTGTGAATAACTAATCATTTTAAATTGTATCCTCTTTCGATTAAAAAAATAACATTTAACATACTCAACAATTGTTTATCTCCCTTCTAGACGGAATACGTTGCAGTGTTCACAGCTTGTAACCTGTCACTTGATTCGACTGTGCAAGAGAGCCTAATGCCTCTATTTATTCCAATCACCCTCTTATTGGTAAATACGATTTCATCAAGGAGAACTCGTTGCTTTCCACCAGAGACTGTCAAGAATCACCCTCGTTTATTTCTCCGGAATCCCGATCAACGCGGAAACGCTCGTAAATCCCCACTTCCGAGGTGAAACAACCTTACCAGATTCCCAGAGAAGACGCGATTCACTTTCTCCGTCTCGAGATAATTGCTCGTTAAAAGATACACCGCGAACTAAAGGGAGGGGAAGCAACGAGACTCGAAGAGTAACTCTTAAGTACTACAAACATTGAAACTTACACAACTATTGTTGCTTTCTATTAGGAAATGTCCTTTACTCGAGCTAAGGACTATAAAGAAAGAAATCATTCTTAATGACTCTTTCTATTCACGAAACTTGGCAGAAATTTGCTCTTTGTCTACGGAAATTCAAAGGAACGCAAGTCGGAATTGTTAGTTTTACAGACCAGCGCTTTATTATTTTGACCAAATATATTTTATATATACAATGAGCGTAGAAAGTATTCGTACGCTCGATAAAAAATTGTTTATATTTTAAACACTTACAACTCGTTGAATTCGATTTTACATCATTTCGAAGGAAATGTCTTTATGGACACTGAAAACATTTTTTGTCATAATTAAATTCACCATGATCTCTACTTTACGACAATCTCCTGCAAAATTTCTTTCACAAAATTATTATTTTTCCACAAAATTACAAGAGATCAAAGTATCGACAATTTTTTTATCGAACGTACGAAATACCTTCAATACCCTGAATTAAAAGAGTTCGAAGTACCGATAATTTTTCATGGAATGTACGAATACTTTCGACACTCTACTATATGCAAATCATTTGGACCAAAATTTAATTTTTTAACCAACCGATCAGAGTATTATTTACAGCGCTGCATAAAACACTGCAGAAAGAGAAACACGGACGAACGAAAATTGCCAATAACACTCGAAGATTAATATCAGGTGGCGAGGTTCTTCTCGCTGATCTCCATTATCCGCGAATTATCCCGTGGACCAAATACACCGCATCAGTTATCCTTGGTATTCATCGAGTATCGAGCGTCGTCATTCGCGTCGAAATAAAGTATCGTATTGCTCGGTGAGCGATAAAACGGGAACGCTCGAAGATCATTTGATGTTTCCCTGCCTCCTCCTGTATCACGCGTTTCACTCTCGAACAAACAAACGAGGACTTCTTTAACTTCGCTACAACGTCGGCTCGAAACTCTACTTGAAAGTTTACCACCGGTAAGCCCGCTTGGTAATCGTTTCCCTCTTAAACTTCCCAAGGAGATTCGTCGGTTGAGACGCGGTTACACCCCGCAGTGATTAGCAAGGACGCGCGCCTCCAAATGTTTCCTGGTAATTTCCGTTTATCTGAGTACTCTGCTACGGAGATGATATTGGTCGAAAGGATAGCGTAGGCGAGATTCAACTTTAGATAATAATTCTCAGGTCAAAGAGAAAGAGAGAGAGAGAGAGAGAGAGAGAGAGAGAGAGAGAGAGAGAGAAGAGGTTCTGTCTATCGCTGATCTAAAGTGACTGTGCAGCAAACTTTCGGCGTTTTCGGCTTAATGTTGGAGATGGTGTTTCGTGGATTAACGCTGCGTCTACGGTGGTTACACCTGTTCGCGATATTAGGAGACCGTGATTTTCAACACGTTTCTTACAAAGTTTTTAGTAAAATTGAAACGATGAAATTTTATTATAAATTATTTGTAATTTCATCGAGAGGCTAATATTTTTGTTTCATTTATACAGTTACTTTATTTCTACGTCTTATTGTAACTGAGATTAAATGCTAAATTTAATCTGAAATAAGGAATATTCATTGTTGAATAGCTGATATTTGACAAAATTATTATAGATGAAAAACAGAGATACTTCTCAAAATATTTGACTAATTGTAAGATGCCTCTGCAAAATTAATCTTCAATTATTGCTGTTTTATTTATACCATTATTACAATTAAAATGAAGTATTTCATTGCCCGTATATATGTATGTAATTAAATGAATCAGTTTCATTTGAATTATACACTTGCAATAATTTGAAATTATTCAAATATTTATACAAGATAGTGTACATGGACTATCAATAAGAATGTCGAAGGGAAAGTAGATTCCCTTTTAATCAATCTTTTAAGCGAATGTAAGTCGATTAATCGTTAACAGTATCGTGATCAGTACCAATTGACTATGAATAAATTTGGCGAATAATATTTAGAACAAGTATTTCCAATAATAACGTGTTGCATTGTAAATGTAATTTTGCTACAAAATAAAAATCTACACTGTTGATGAACATGGTTCGCGAAATATTGTCGAGCAACAGTGTGAATGCGGCATAGTCCCAGGCAAGATTCTGAAAATAACTCGAACTGTAGCGTAATGCCGGATCTTGCGTGCACCCGTGGAATCAACGAAAGTAAAACTTTCCACGCAGCTCGGCTGTAAAATTCAATTTCTACATCGTTGATTCACCTTCACCTTCTTGGTCAGTCTCCGAAAAAAGGCTCACCCAACGGAGCACATTTCTCGTGGAGATTTTCGGCCAAATATTTACGCGAAATGAAGGCAGCGCAGTCTCAAGTTGGCGTAGCGCGGAATACGCGATCCGTCGATTCATTCAAACAACTTTCACGGTGCAAATGTTTCGTTTTTTCCCTCGCTGGCGGATATACGGTTTCGGGCAGTTATATCCGCGAGACTCACGGCGAATCTCGGTGAAGCAGCGCGTGAACCACCGGGATCGGAACTTAATTTGGAGCTGACAGATTTTCACGGAGACAGTGGGGGGACGCGGTGAGCCGTGTGTTCCCGCGATTTTCCGAGCCGTTCGATTGAACTGGAAGAATTCGCTTACCGTTCCGTGGTGCTCTTCACGAATTCACCCTTCCACAGGCCGCACGTCAGCTCGCGGGCGGTCGCTGCGAAAAATAGCAGATTCACCGCGAGCAGGAAACCGATGGGACCGAAGAAGTAAGCCAGAATCTCCATGTCGCCTGTGAAATAAATTTTTTTCGCCGATTAGCGCCGAAGAAAGAAAAATTTATTTATCGTTATACGCACGTGCATTATTTATTAATATCAGAAATGACAGAAATATGTAATATGTGTTCTAAATAAACACGATGAAGATATATCCTTGATTGAACATTCATTTTTCCTTTCCTTTCGTGATAAAAAAGAATATTAGACACACACGTACGCGAGATGAAATCATAATCATCTCCGATCGACTAATAACTCAGATATTTTCGAATTTTTACACTTTTGCAAATTTTCAATCGTCTATTTATTTTATTGATAATTCGATATTAATTAGCCGGTCAGTTTAATTTAATAATAATATTCCGTGCTTTGATACAATTCCTAGCAAAGGAGGAGCAGAATTGCAAACCTTATGAACTTTGTGCTATAGATTTTTACGTAGTTATATATTATAATCGTATCAAACTTTTATACAGAATTATTATTACGAAGAGATTGATTGAAAATTTTATTTGAAACACACTAGAATGAGAGCTAAAGACTATCATTTTTCATTTGTACTATGAAATTAATCTCGCAAAATTGCCCAGAATGAAAACGCTATAGAAAAATTGCAATAACCGAGGTTGAATTTTCTTAACAACATATTCCCAAATATTCTATTCATTTATTATTCCAATTTTCCAAATTGGCAGCGAAGACCTTGGCAAAATCCTTGCCAAAAATTATCCTTCCGAGTATAACAGTCACGTCAATAAAGCAATAGAGATATTTCCATTCACCATTCACTGCACGAACAAGAAGTGAGACCTGGAAACGTTCTAAATATCTGGATTCTCGCCTGGGTGTTCGATAATAAACGTTCGGATCGCCTGAATGGCGAATCGGTTTATCTTCGCGCTTGTGCGCGTATTTCGATTCATCGGAGGAGGATCGCGAGAAGCAGGCAGTTCAACTACTCGTTACCGGAAGTCGAGGAACGCTGCTCGCCGGCCAGCATTAGCGATTAAACTATTACGCGAAACGCGGTATCGAGTGAATGATCTCGTTACTAGTTGTCGTGTTTTGCTTATTACACTTCCAACGACTCGTCCATGAACACGGAACGCGTTTTAAACTGGTTGATCTTAAGCTCTGGTTAGAAACGTGAAAGCGGGTATTTTGAAACAAGCTTGAAACCTCTAGTAGACAAAAATTTACAACGCTGAATGCTCGTGAAACATTTTTAATCCATTGTCTCCGCGAATGATCGGAGTCGTTTGTATCCGATGTCGAATTTCACTCTTAAATTTCTTTGAAATGGATTTTTATTTTTCCTCATTTTTCTGCTGAATATTTAATTCAAAGTAGAGACTTTGATAAGCATCTCAGAACTTTTTTCGATTTTTTTTCAAGAAAAGTCAGAAACAGATCGCTGAGGAATGAATGATCGGATTCATCGCAGTCTCATTTAATCACGTGTTGATATAATTTATTTGGAAATTTATATACTCCTCTATTATCTCATTATGCTTCCAACGCTGCAGATCACTATATTCCAAATATTTAAATCCAAGGACTGAAAATTCGAGCTACTTGTCAGATTATAATAACTGTAATTACAAATATCCGATTTTCTCTCATTTCTTTTTTTTTCTTTTCTGTTTTAGCACACAGTGTGTAATTAAAGTTAATTGTAATTAAAATTTATATTAATAAATTCATTTAAGATGAATTATAATCAAATACATTTGAAGCTCGCAACATCACTTCTAGTAAAATTAAAACGAAGTATCTTTTTTCCATTAAGACTGTCTGAATGAAAAGAGTGGCAAATGGCGACAAGATTCCTTTCAGTGTTTATAGTTGTCCATAAATCCTAGTTTCTCTACTATTCTTTAAATAACGGCCGACGTATTTTCGTTCTATATTTCCTTTGATTATCCACGAGCGAGCGAGCGAGTCGAGAAGGATTTATTAACTCGAATGTATTAACATGTTTTTCACTAGACACGCAAATCCTCGTCCGGCTATCAATATTGAAAAACTGTATACGTTTCAGCGAAAGATAACATCCAGATGTTATTAGCGTAAAGCTAGGAATAATAACACGCATCTAACTCAAGGATCGAATCTAAGGTCGAATTCCTTCGAAAATAAAAGAAACACAAGTGGATTAAAGAAGTATTTTTTTTTCTTCTTTTGAGATATATATATCTATCGTAAATCGTGCTATTTCTTGGCGAAAGTAAATCCAGTACTTTTGGCTCCGATGAGCTAAGACTTGTATGGAGAAAAAAACCTAACATCGAAATGCACTCTGAGAATCTTCAATCAACGGTGAAACACGGTTCTCATTTTAAAGCATAAACCCTTTACAGTCCTGAGTTCATCATGTTACATCCTGTAGCGGGTTCACTCTCGAAAATTGTAAAAGCTCAAACTTTCTCTAAAAACATTGAGAAATTCATTTCGTGACTTGACCTCACCATCGTTTAATCTCGAAGATTAAAACTTTCTCTTTGCAAAGAATTCTTGTTGTACGATTTTCTTGAATCATCTCATTGATCCTTGAACATGAGGATTGGACAAGGAAATGTTAACATTTCTTGAATTTTCGTCGTTCAATTCTATATATTAGAATATTCAAAGTGAAATGGTGAAAAGGAAGATAGTAGAAGCAAGTCGTTGTAAAGAGACTTTGATCTTGAAAACCATGATTGTTCTAGTCATGAAAAAATTGTTTCAACGTTTTTAGAGACGTCTGAGTTTTTATAATTTTGAAAGAAAAAACAACTGAAGTTAAAATGAAGGCTTTACATTCTGGTAAAATAATTGGAATATTATATATATATATATATATATATATATATATATATATATATATATATATATATATATATATATATATACATCATACATTCTATATACATCTCCTACTTTATATCTATCATTTGTTAAAAATGCAGAAAACTTGGTACTTGATGTGCTACCTTTTAATGTGGAAATGAATAACTCTGACTTGATTTAGGCTCAAGAAGCCTCATTGTTTTTAAGTGATTTAGCTGGTTCTGTTTGAATGATTAAGTTAACGGCGACTAAAATCGACTGATCTCCTTAGCTGAATATTAATTGACTGAGAATGACTCTGATTAAGTAATTGACTTGACCGACTATGAATCCCTGACTGAGATTCCTAATTGCATTAGCTACTTACTAACTAAATTGACAATCGACTGAATTGAATGACTACATGAACTTGACAATTGAAAACTGAACTGAACTGAATTATGATCTCCTCAGAGTCCTCTTAAATAAAAATCTTCGTCTACTCCAAAGGACTTTGAAGAAAGTTAAATCGTGGAGCAGGGGACATGTCAAAATCAATTAGGAAAGGGGAGATTTTCTCGTTAGAACTTCATGAGATTGATTCGTGTGGAATGGCAGGTATGGTGAACGATCTCATTTTTTGGCATGTGCTTAATTTATAACATTGTAATTGCTATTGTGTGGAAAAAAATTTCTCGTACTTGAAATTAACTGGGATTTATGGAAAACCCAGTTGTAAAAATTGTCTATGCGTAACGGTTACAAAGGATGAGTGAAAATTTTTAATCCGACAGACTCTCAAGCCATAAGTATATATCGTTAGTTTTAATATACTTCAAAAATAAATCTCTAATACTTCTAATCATCAAAGTTCATTGAAAGAAGTCAAGAGGAGATAGTAAGCCTGCACTTTACACAAAATTACTTTTCTATATATCTTGCGTTTTCTATAGACGCGCCAATCTAGCTAGACAAAGAGAACTAATATATCAGATAATACGTTTGAAGTCTTATAAGTAAACCAAACATTTCTAATGCAGGAACTGGCAATAAGTGGACTGTTCGGCCTTACCGAACACAAAGGAGGTGCGGTTCGCACCGCGAAAGACAAACTCATCGAGTCAGGGAAAGTAATTTTACAATTTCTAATTTCTCGACAGCAGGGATCTCCCGTGACCATCATGTCCTTCGTTACCTTGCATCTTCTATTGTAGTCACACCGGACTACCAATTCCAAGGCTCATCATGCTCGATGCTCAATTTTAAGGCTCGATAAATGACTTTATCTCAACTTTTTTACGACATCCATAAATCCAAGTCATATTTCGAGGGGACACATCCTGGGACCGTTAGAAAGTGCAAACTACGTTCTGGAACTGACCTCGCTCACATATGGACAACTAACTTCCCTAAACCATAGAATCCAGCTATACAAGATCAACGCACAAGGAAAACGACAGTTCCTCTGCTGCCAACGCACACATCAATAAAATACAAATCATACAAAACAAATTCCTTAGAATCATTCTCAATAAACAGAGGGACACAGCCGTAGCACAGCTCCATCAATTAGCCAACATCCCCACGATCAAGCAGTATATTCAAAACTCACTACCCGGGGCCTACAACAACAACAACCATTAGAACCCCCTCATCAGGGAAACAGGCAACTATCAAGTCGAAAACATACCACTCAAAGTCAAGGTCAAATTACCTAAACACGCATTAATCTAACGAACCAAAACTTTCAGATTCAAACTGTATTAAGGAATCTGCAGGTTATTTGAAACTTTTCCTGCAAGCCTAACCTCACCTCATCATGCAAACAAATATCCACACACTAATAATATCAATCTTCATGCAGGTTAAAGGGCACTCCAGGCCCAGGGTACTGCAGACGAGACATTCTAATTAAAACAAAAACGACAGTTAATGTTTTGGCAATCGCATAGCAACCCATCGACAGGTCAAGGTTCGACTATCAAACTCACTCAAATTTTATCAAGCTTTCTCTTACGACAACTTATATTTCTCAATCCTACCAATCTAACCTTAAAACAACTCTATCTTGAATCAGCTGACTTTACATTAACGTTGAAAGACAGCAAACTACCGATCTGCTCAACGCTACTTATACGTCGAGGTCAGATCGGCACGCTACATGGACTATTTCAGCAACAAATGTCAACTGAGAGCCTCAGAAGCCAGGAAAATGCAGGAAGAGGCAAATCGACAATGCATTAGAAGCAACATATATAAACTGGAAAAACTGGATATCCATTCAATAAATTGGAAGAAATATTCTTTAAAATTTGACCAAAAGATTGACATGAATAGAAAACAACAACAAAAATTTCGTTTCATCCAATATATCATAGCCTATTAAATTCCAAATTCGCATATAATACCAATATAGAAAATATTGAAACCACCGAATCCGATAACTATACACATAGCAGAGGTGGATACATAAAAAATTTGGAACATAACTGTGTTATTCACTATAAAAATTCTAATGTCAGTTGATCTGAATCCTATCTTTCTATTAGTATAATCACTTCTTGATTTATATCTAGCAAATAATAGATAAACTGGAAATAATGATAAACTAAGAATAAGCTACTATTTCAATGTTATACGTATAAATATCAAACTAAAGTTTATATACTGCTATACTATGTACAAATAGTGAAGAGAATATAGATGTATTGCACATGTTGCAATGTATCACGAAAATAGCGTCATGCAAAAATATGCACACAAAATAAGCAGTAATGTTGAAGCTCTGCTTAGAGATAGCAAAATTTTCCGATTAGAGCCACTCTGATGCAATCGAAACAGAATTTCACATAACATCTTGACGCATTTAATAATTAGCATTGAAATTTCTTTATATTAAGAGGTCAGAACAGTTTGAAATTTTCAAAAAATCGATTTTTTGTTTTGGTTTAAATAGTAGTTTGATGAAATAGAAGTCTTAGAAATAAAATGCAAAAAATCCTAGCCATTAAAACGACTTATTCTGGGGTATAATAGTAAATCTGCCACGGATACAGAATAATTGAATTTGTATCACTGTTTACAACTTTAAGCAGTATTATATAAGTGTAAATTGTGTGATTCAGATATTATTTTTGGTGAATCGAATATTAGGGGATTCAATTTAGTTGTGAATTGTAAGAACTGTGAGCCGCAATATATAAGTAAAAAAAGTAAGTAAAGGATACACACGAAAAATGACGTTCTGAAACTTTAATTTAAACACGTTTTTCTCGAAACTAGGTTTTTAGAAACGGTGTGCAAGATATCTCGGAATCTAACCAACCGATTACTGTGAAACTTGGTATATATCTTTAGTGTAACATTTACTAAGGATTGACGATCGAACATTTTTTAATTTTTCGAAAAATATAAACAAAAAACGTAGAAATTTTTTGCATAAATTCGATACATCAAAAACAAATAGCTACCAATTTCATAATTTTCACAAAAATGAAAACGTTGGATCGTGACTCCCTAGAGAATATTGTTTACTTCTGAAATTTTTTTGCCTTTTTGTTGCAGCTAATCCTGTTTGGCTGGAATCATGCACACCGATAGGCAATGTAAAAAAGTTATGTAAAAGTTATGTAAAAGGAGCCCTCTTTTTTTCTTTTTTAATGTTGCTTATAGTTCATAATGTGTTAAAATAAACCACAAAAGCTCATGTGTACTTTTTTTTTACTAGCCCTTCAAAGTATTTTTAGACCCGTCAAACTGTCCTGCCCCCTTAAGGATGAAAACGATTCGATTCGGTTTTTTATTATTTCACATGATGCCATTCACTAACGTGTGAATAAGTAACTCGATCTTGATTTGTTGATAGATAGATTTATTACTCTATACAAGAAATTACTTCTACTTGATTCAGACATTCTATGTGAGTAACTAATCTAAAGACGGCTGAGTCCAATTGATTTGCCTAGAATATTGACTGACTGATAGTCTAATGACTCTGATTGACTGGCCAATATGAGGCTGGTCGAAGACTGAATCTCATTGAGTTGCTGATTGTATGACAAACTATCATAAATTCTTATAAGGAGAACTTGCCTGTCCTTCCAAAAGACTCCGAAGAAAAGCAATTAAAAGGAGCAGGGATATGTTAAGACCAATGATGTACAAGGGAGGATTCTAAAATTTCTAGTCTCTCTTATTTCAGAAGAATTCGTTATTCTCGATTTCTAGAAGACATTTCGATTTCTCGTATTATATTTTGTGGGGAATTTTTTGCAAAGAAACTTTATTATACCTTTTGCAGTCAAATTGACAAGGTTTATTTGTACGTATTTCAACGACATTTTAAAATTTTTTGGGGCAAAAAAAGTTAAAATTAGTGGCACTGCATACTCTCAAACATAATCGCTTTTAAAAAAGGTCTCACGGTGTCCATAATTCCGGCCATTCTGCTTGTCGAAAATAAAAAAACGTTTCTTAATTAGTATGAGTTTGGCTATAGTAGGTACCAAAACAAAAGATAAAAGTCGGTAATTAAAAAATTGGTGATACTTTGAAGTTCAATTATCGATTTTTGCATGTTTTTGTTAAACTTTGGAAGCCTAAAAAAAATATAAAAAATAAAATTTTTTGGTTGATTCTAGTAGGGGCTATAGTCATACATGTACTAAATGCGTACTTAAAATTTTGAGTCAATTGGTCAAATACATTTTGAGATATCATGGACCGTTCTGAAAAATATAGTTTCCAGAAAAATGCCTTTAAAATTTAGTATTGCGGTAACAATGACGTCGCGTTCTTCAAACAACCATAACTTTAATTTTAGGACATGTATGGTTACAGCGATTTATTTTTGAAACTATTTCCTTTAAGAATATGCAAAAGAAAAAAATCGATTTTTTTTCAAAAGTTCACACTAGAATACCCCCTTAAACTTGTTTGTTCTAGCGAAGAACGATTTAGTATTAGAACAATGAATGATCATACAACTCATACAAGAACCCATCACCGATTAGGAAGAGACGAAGCAGCTATTGATCAATTCTGTAAATCCATTTCTTTTTACAAACTATTTAAAGAAGAATTAAATATGACAGCATCGTGATCGACAGCATCGATGAAAAGAGTTACTATGCGTTCTATGTACTATACTGATATTCTGTAATCAAAAAGTATCGGGACTGGCTCATTTGAGGCCCGCTTATTGTATAAAGCTTTTTTATTGATAGCGCATTTATTGACATCTGTAGAAAATTTCACGTCGTAACCTTTGTTTGTTTACAAATACTCATACTCTTTTATGATTGAAAGAAAATACTTCTGGCGATTTTTGACATGACGAAATTTGCCGAAATTTACGAATCTATGTAAAATTTTATCTCCGAAATGGAATTTCATGCACAGTAAACGTTGTCGAAATGTTTTGGAGATGAATGCATGTCAAGACTAAGAATTTTTGCTTGATAGAAAATGTTGAAAGAAGGCAAAGAATGCGTTAAAAATGAGGATTGCTTTGGAAGAGCTTCCACTTCGACAAATGAATAATAAAATCAAGACTTCAGTGCTCAGAGATCGACAATTAACAATTTGAAACATTTCAACGTATTAATCGAGACATTTCAACGTAGTATTGAAGTATTACTTGGTTCATGCCAATCTATTTTTCATGACAATTGACATGTGATATCTCGTCTTGTTCCAAAAAACACTGAATGCTTTTCAAAAGCGTTGCAATTGTGTTGCTAAAGAAATGCTTTTTCAAGACAATTGGATTATGGAACGCATTATTATTGATGATAAAACGTGAATCAACGCTTGCGACACCGAAACAACACAACAATCAAGCGAATGGCTTCGTGAATCTTAAGGGCCTTGCAGTATAAATACACTGCTCACAAAAATTAGGGAATATTTCAAAATGAATATGAAGCGATAAAAAAAGAAGCATTTGATTTTTTTTTTTTAAACAAGGTCTTTCTTTCTTTCTTTCTGGCCTTCTTTTTTTTTATCGCTTGAAATATCCTCTAATTTTTGTGAACAGTATATTTACATGCATACATGACCATATTATACTATGTACTTCGGAACGAGACGAAATATGATGCAACTATTCGCGTAACGAGTTAGTATTAGCCCAAATAACAACCAAACCAGCGATAAGGCACTCAAAAATTACATCTAAAATATAAAAGATCGTCCTGGCTAAATGCATACTATATATAAATATATGTTGCGGAATTTACGAACAATAAATATACAGAAACGAGTGTTGCTGTCGATTGCTGTCCCATTACACTTTGGTCAGCAATCTAGACGAATAAGCCATAAATAACCTACGGCATATTGTTCGATTGTTATCCAAATGTATAATTGAAGGATTGTTACAACTGACGAATGGCAAGACCAGTTAGAACGAAGTTCAAGAA